TCGTAAGATTCAGCTGTAGTCCTACCTTTCCACACTCACGGTCAAAGTTGGCCAGCATTTGTGCCGCTTGGCTGATGTTTGGTGTTATTAAAACAATGTCATCAGCAAAGCGGAGGTGGTGTAGTTGCCGACCATCTATCTTCACTCCCATTCCTTCCCATTCCAGTCGTTGCATGACGTTCTCGAGGGTGGCACTGAAGAGTTTCGGTGAAATGGTATCACCCTGCCGAACCCCTCTCTTGACATCAACGATCACTTCTTTGTAGAATGGTGAGATCCTGGTAGTGAATCCGCAATATAGCTCACGGAGGATCCTGATGTATTGGGCCTGAATGCCCTGATTGGCTAGGGCTTCAATGACCGCTTCCATCTCAACAGAATCAAAGGCCTTCTTTAAATCAATGAATGTTAAACAGAGCGGCATCTTGAACTCCCGAGAAACCTCAATGAGCTTGGTTATAGTGTGGATATGGTCGATGGTGCTGAATCCTTTGCAGAACCCGGCTTGCTTGCATGGTTGTCCTTCATCTAGTGTTCTGCTAATCTTATTTAGGATGACTCGGGTGAACAACTTGTAGATGACAGACAATAGGCAGATTGGGCGATAGTTGCCAATGTTATGGATGTCTCCCTTCTTGAACAGTAGTACGGTCTTGCTGGTTTTCCATTGGGACGGAACCTTGCATTCAGACAGGTAGCGAGTGAAGAGCCGAGCCAGTGTATTGATGAGTCCTGACGGCAGGTTCTTCAGGTGTTCAGGTCTGACCTTGTCTGTGCCGGGTGCTGTTTGTTTCTTTACCGACGAAATGGCGTGTCAGATTTCGGAAGGGAGAACGTTGGGAACGACATATCCATCCTGTGGAATTTGATATGTCGGCAAGTGGACATGGCTATCAAAGAGGTGACAAAGGGATTCTAATCAGGAGCCCCACCTTACCCTGCCCTGTCTGCTTCCATAAACCACCCAGGGATCGAATTGCGCACAGGAGACCCACCCTACCCAGATAAATACCCCACTGGCAGACTTCCACTATCGACACTACTTCCACTACCCAGCCGTCGCCACACTTAAGGACGCTTTCTGGACCCGCGCGGCTGCTTTGCGGCCGCGCGACACATCATAAGACACTAAATACCCATCTTCCGGAATTGTCATACTGTATTTGATAGGGTTCAAATATGGTAACACCTACAAGGGTGATTGGAGGTCACCCCAAAAGCCTCTATCCCTCTCGGAAAGACTGGCAAGCTACCAAGAGTATTCTGCCTGCACGGAAGAGCCTGGCAAGCTATCCGTTGTGTATTCGATATGCCAAAACCAGTAACTACAACTGGTCTCATTCACCTGACCCTGAAGGCTTCACCGACATGGCAGCACTGACAAGGATGAGAAAGGAGAGGCCAACAAAATCTCAAGGCCGACCTAGGCTGCCACAACGAAGGAAGACAAAAATGATCGTCTGTACTTTTAATGCACGTACGCTAGCATCAGATGCATCCATTGAGGACCTGATGGTACAAGCGCGGATGATCAAGTACGACATCATTGGTCTGACCGAGACAAGAAGGCATGAATCTCACCATGCCATTTTCGACACTGGAGAAGAATTGTTCCTCGGAACATGCGATAAAAGAGGTGTTGGAGGCGTCGGTGTCCTTGTCAACACAAACTTGGCCAAGAGCATTGATTCATTTGAATGCCTAACAACCTGAATCGGACGTTTACATTTGAATAGATGTGGCTCACTGCCTGCAGTGTCTATCTTCGTTGTCTACGCACCAACATCTCATTATGATGAAAGAGAAATCGAGAAGTTCTACTTGGAGCTAGAGAAGTTCTATAAAGAAGACCACACCTTCTACAAGATCATTGTGGGTGATTTTTATTGCCAAGATAGGACCGAGAAGATCAGCTGAAGAACTTCACATCGGGACCCATGGCCTAGAATGGAACGAACAGGGTGAGAGACTGTCTGAGTTCATCATGTCGACCAAGACCATTCATGGTAACTCACAGTTCCAGAAGGCAGAATCTAAACGATGGACATGGGAGTCTCCCGGTGGATGATTCCACAACGAAATAGACCACATCATATTCAATTGACGGTTTTGCCTGACCGATGTTGCTGTTGTCCCAAAATTTCGAATGGGATCGGACCACCGTCTACTTCGTGCAAAATTCTACTTCACAGAGCGGGGAGAAAGGGCTGCAAAGTTCAAAAAGAGAACTCCCAGAATGACCACCAACTGGGAACTCTTTGGTACTATTGCGGCAACATGGGAAGATGCATTGTTGACAACATTGACGAGGAATACGATCGACTGGTTCAGCACCTCCATGAATGTGCGAGGAACGCCAAGAAAGAGATAGCCACAAAAAAACGCCTGTCTTCGAAAACTCTTGAGCTAATTCGCCAGCGTGGTTTGGCGCATGCCTCAGGCAACCGCAAGCTAATGTCCGAGCTCGCAAAGCAGTGCAGAGATGCGATCAAGGAAGACCTCAAAGAGAGAAGAGCAGAAGTACTGGTAGATGCGGCAGAAGCCGGGAAAAGTATTCGTAAGGCCCGCCTGTCCTTCGCCAACTACAAGACCAAGATGACTGCCCTCCGACGTCCTGATGATCCATCACATCCTCCAGAATGGCAATGGAGAAGATTATCCATGACTTCTACTCAAATCTCTTTGATAGCCATGTCCAACAACATTTAAAAAAGATAAATTTTAAATTTTAATTTAAAAATTCTGTGATGTATAAAGTGTTGATAGTTGTGTATTAGGCATACACTATTTCAACACAAATCCCACCACCACAGTTCCCAGATCCCTGCCCACAAGCCTCACCTCATTCTTGCTCGTCAACTTGACAGGCACATTACAAATTTCCATTGGCTGCAGCTTAGATTTCATGTTTTCAGTGTTGTTAAGTTTGTTTTTTGGTCATGTGGCTATCTTCCTTACTCATAGTCCTCCTTACTCATATCACTGGCATAACTGAAGCCCTGATGTCTGTTCACCTGCTCTTTTCTTCTCCCTCAATTTCTTTCCTTGTCTGTGTTTTTCTCTAAACATGAGGTCAAAGGTAATCAGGGAATCCCTTCTTTGCTGTGGTATATTTCCTCATCTTGTATTCTATATATCATAGATAAATGAGATTATCTTGTTTAACAACAACCTTTTTAAAATGGGAAGAGGAGCTGAACAGACTCTTCATAAAAAGGAAATATAGGTGGTATTCGGCCAAGTGAGTGTTTAAATTTTTAATTATCAGGAAAATGCAGATAAAATAATGATGAGATATTACCAATGACATATAACAGTATGAATGCCTACTTCAAAAAGTCTATAAATCAGGGATAGAGAGGTAGTACAGCAGTTAAGTGCTTACATTACAAAAAGTTGGCCCAGATTCAATCCCTAGTACTTCTTAGGGTCCCTAGAACACCACTAGGAGTGATATCAGAATGCAAAGCCAGGAGTCATACCTGAACATATCTGGGTGTGACCCCAAGATAAAAATGCCTGAAACTCACCAGCATTTTTGTGGGTTAGGAGGAAATGAATCTTCCTTGGCTATTGGATGCAGAGGGCTACAAACTAGCCCCACACCATCACTATCAGGAGGAAATGATTCAGTCCAGTAAGAATCATGTAAAGATATTAAAATTTACCCTTTATGCTTGAGGACCCAGTCAGGATGGAAGATGTGTGCTGAAAGTATATAAAGAACTAAACCTCTCAGTGTCTGTATTGCAAACCATAATGCCCAAAAGTAGAGAGTGAGTTTGGGGAATATAGTCTGCTTTGCAGGCAGGGGGATGGTGGGAAATGGGGGTATACTGGGGATATTGGTGGTGGGGAATGTGCACTGGTGGTTGGGGTTGGTATTTGATCTTTGTGTTATTGTAACCTAAACATGAAAGCTTGTAACTATCTTACGGCGATTTAGTAAAATTAAAAAAAAAGAACTTAAAAAAAACAACTAAAAAACAAACCTATTAAACCTTACCCTTTACCCTGTTGTACAAGAGAGATGATGGAAATAAACTCATTTTCTATTCTCAAGCTTGTTTTTTGGTATAATTCTTCAATTCTTCTCCCATCACTAACCTCTTTTTCCCTGAAAATTACCACTGAGACCTCTGCCTTATTTGTGCTCTGATAATCCTTTCTTTATGCACAAAATATCACAGAAAATTCTCCTTCCTCACCGAATCACCTAGAGAGAAGGGCTTATGCTTTTGTACAAAAACTTCCAGGCTCTGGAATGAAGACAGGCTTGTTTACCAAGAGAATCGAATTGAGAGCCCAGAAATAAAGTCTCAGAAGAATGGACAGTTAATCTCTGATAAAGGGGAAGGGTATTATGAAGTGCAGCAACGAAGGCCTCTTCAGAAAATGAGGTTGGTAAAACTGGATAGCAACATGCAAAAAAATAATCAAAGAGAAAAAAGTGGATTCATATCTCATACTATACACAGAAGTGACTCAAACCTGGGCTGGAATCAACCAGCAACATATCACTGGATAGAGAAACTTGGTCAACTTGTTTGGCTAAGTAGCACCACAAGTGTCCCCTTGTACTGCTTGGGAGACCCACACTAGCACCCCCAAAAATAAGTGATGGAAGGGGTATAATATAAGGAAAGGAGGAAGGAAGAGAGGAAGGAAAGAAGGAAGAGAAAGAATAAAGGACAAAAATCATGACATTTTCTTAGGCAGTTTATTACTACAATAACCAGAACAAGTCTCATCTCCAATTCAGATTCTACTATTGAAATTGACAATCACATCACGATGTCATGAAAATCAGAAAATCAACATCAAACCGCTCAGAGTCAGTTAGACTTGTTAGGGTCCAGCTTAGTCTCACTTCTTTCTTTTGCCAAGTGGAGTAACTAAGATAAATAATAAGAAAGGTCCCAGAAGATTGCTTTGAAGGTATCTGGGGCCATCCATAAGAAAATTACACCTTGAGTTGACTGGAATAGCCCAGGGACCCATCATTGATAAGAAATTGCTCGGCTGAGAATCCTGCCCAGCGCCCCTTTGACATCTTTGTTCCTCAGGCTGTAGATGAAGGGGTTTAGCATGGGGGTGACCACCGTGTACATCACCGAGGCAATGGCACTGTTCTCAGAAATGTCAGTCACCGCAGAACTCAAGTAGACGCCCAAGGCCGTGCCGTAGAACAAGGAGACCACGGAGAGGTGAGAGCCACAGGTGGAGAAGGCTTTGGACCTGCCCCTCCTGGAGGACATGCGCATTAGGGAGGAGACTATCTGAGAGTAGGAGTAGAGGATGCCCCCGAAGGGAATCATGCCCACAAGTGCAGTGACCACATACAAGAAAATGTTATTGATTTCTGCATCTGAGCAGGCCACCTGGAGTACCTGAGCCAGTTCACAGAAGAAATGTGGGATCTCGGTGCCCACACAGAACGTCAACTGTGCCATCAGGAAGATATGAACCAGGGCAACCCAGGAAATGACCAGCCAGCACAGAAGCAGCAGCTGGACACAGAGGCGGGGGTTCATGATGACCATGTAGTGCAGGGGGTGGCAGATGGCCACGAAGCGGTCATAGGCCATCACACTCAGGAGTAAATCGTCCAGTCCTACAAATAATACGAAAAAGTAGGCCTGTGTGAGACATCCGATGTAGGAAATGGCTTTGCTGTGTGTCTGAATGTTCTGCAGCATCTTGGGGACGGTGGTGGAGGTGAAGCAGATGTCCACAAAGGAGAGGTTGGACAGGAAGAAATACATGGGCGTGTGGAGGCGGGAGTCAAAGATGCTTGCCAGGATGAGTAGCAGGTTCCCCAGCACGGTGACCAGATACATGGACAGGAACATGCCAAAGATGAGGGGCTGCATACTTGGATCCTCAGTGATTCCCAGGAGGAGGAAGTATGATGCATCTGTCTGGTTTTCTGCTTCCATGGAGCTTGTAGGAAGAATAAGAAATGGTTAAGAATGTTGGGCTGAGTGAACAGAATGTGCAGATTCTTTTTATTAAAATTTTTTTTTAATAGTGAGACATCATGAGGTACAGTTGTAGACTTACACATTTTTGTGCTTGGGTTTCAATTATATAATGATCAAATACCATCCCTCCACCAGTGCCCACTTCACACCACCATGCATCCCAGTATCCCTCCTGCCCCCCATCCCCCCATCCCACCCTGGCTCTGTGGCAGGGAATTCCCCTCTGTTCTCTCTCTCCTTTTGGGTGTTGTGGTTTGCAAAAGGAACATTGAGTGGCAATTATGATTGGTCTATAGTCTACTTTCAGCATGTTTCTCCCATCCTGGGAGGGTCCTCCCAACACCTTTATTTGGTGTTCCCCTCTTTATCTGAGCTCCCTTTTCCCTAGTATGTGTGGTTGGCCTCCAAGTCATGGAGTAGAATTCCTGGTACTAATCTCGGCCATTCTTGGGTGTTAGTTTCCTATTTTGTTACTTTATGTTCCCCAGATGAATGCAATCTTTCTATGTCTATCCCTTTCTTTCTGAGTCATTTCGCTTAACATGATATTTTCCATGTAGTACCACTTGTATGTGAATTTCGTGACTTCATCTTTTCTAACAGCTACATAGTACTCCATTGTGTAAATGTACCAAAGTTTCTTTAACCAGTCATCTGTTCTCGGGCACTCAGGTTTTTTCCAGATTCTGGCTATTGTAAAGAGTGCTGCAATAAACAGGCAATTGCAGACGTCACTTCGACTATACTTTTTTGCCTCTCTGGGATATATTCCCAGGAGTGGTATTGCTGGATCAAATGGGAGCTCAATTTCTAATTTTTTGAGAATCAACCATACTGTTTTCCAAAAGGGCTGAATCAGTCGGCATTCTCACCAACAGTGGAGTGTCCCTTTCTCACCACATCCTCGCCAGCACCGGTTGCTTTTGTTCTTGTGGATATGGGCCAGTCTCTGTGGTGTGAAGTGATATCTCATTGTGGTTTTGATCTGCATCTCCCTGATGATTAATGATGTGGAACATTTTCTCATGTGCCTTTTACAGAATGTGCAGATTCTTGATGTGGCTGTGAGTTTGGTCATTTCAGAGAAATGAGAGGCTAGTGAAAGAGAGAAGATGGGGAATTCTGATCACGGGGCTCAAAGAAACGGAGTGTGTAAGGCCCCAATGCAGTTTCTTGTACCAATCCTTGATGATCCTCTCAAGCAGTCATTTTATGTTCTTAGGTAGGTGAGGGATTGTGATCATTTGGATCACTGGGTTATTCCAGAGACTGACTTACTTGAGTGCGCACATAGCAGTTGCTCCAAGCAAACAAGATTGGGGTGTGTAAGAAGGTTGTTACCTAACTCATCCAGTGAAGCATGAAACATTCCTTGTTCTCAGCACAGACCTACATATATAGAGACATAAGTTTAAAAAAGACGATGAAGTGCATTGACAGAACAGAGAGTGAAGGAAGCTTGAGGCTTACAGCTTGGGACTGAATCTCCACTTGACACCAAATTGACCCCTGGTGAGTCACTTCATCTGCGCGTGGGTTCCTAGTGGGCACAGTGGGACAATTCATGGTGCTTCCTCTATCAGATTTTCAGGATGGTTCAATGAATTGATGCTTTAAAGAGCGTGAAGAGTCATGCTAGCATGCATAGCCTTGGGATTTCAAGACAAATCTTCAAGTGCTATGTGGAAATGATCACCAACAAAGCTGCAGTGGATAGTACAAAGTTGCTAGGAGACTCGATATTAAATGTTCTCTCTACCAGAGAGAAATGACAACTATGTGATATGTCAGAAGTTTTTTTTTTTTAATTTTTATTACTGAAACACCATGAGGTACAGTTGTAGATTTACAAATTTTTGTGCTTGGGTTTTGATTATACAATGATCAAATACCCATCCCTCCACCAGTGCCCATTTTACACCACTATGGATCCCAGTATCCCTCCCACACCCATCCCCCCCGTCCCACCCTGCCTCTGTGGCAGGGCATTCCCTTTTGTTCTCTCTCTCCTTTTGGGTGTTGTGGTCTGCAAAAGAGGCATTTAGTGGCAATCATGTTCGGTCCATAGTCTACTTTCAACATGCATCTCCTCTCCTGGGAGGATCCTCCAAACACCCTTTATTTGGTGCTCCCTTCTCTATCTGAGCTGCCCTTTCCCCTAGAATGGCCGGCTGGCCTCTAAGCTATGGAGTAATCCTCCTGGTACTGATCTCGGCTATTCTTGGGTATTAATCTCCTATTTTATTACTTTATGTTCCCGAGATGAATGCAATCTTTCTATGTCTATCCCTCTCTTTCTGACTCAAAAATATGGAATGCTTCAAGAATTTGCGTGTCATCCTTGCGCAGGCGCCATGCTAATCTTCTCTGTATTGTTCCAATTTTAGTATATGTGCTGCTGAAGCGAGCACATGTCAGAAGCTTTAACTAATATTACTGTGTGGATATAGGCAATACCTCAACATACCAATGAGTAAGACCTCAACATACCATGTGTAGGACATGAGCTTACATAATGATAGGACAGTTAGATCTCAATTTAAAAGAATTCTATAGAGTTTTATTGATTCATTTTTGTTTTGCAAAGTATTTGAATATAAGTTGTACTTATTTCAGAAAACTTGAAGACAAACACGACTTTCCAGTTGGCAATGAAATATTCAAGACATCTGGCATGAAGTTATTATGCTCATCATTTTATAGCCTACAAAACTCAAGTGATATCCATAAAATGCAAACAAATAAATTTCAATCATGAAAAAGGACTATTTAACAATTTGCCCTTTGTTTTGTTAAAAGATCCTAGGGAGGGGCACAGCGATATTCCAACAGGCAGGGCTTTTTTCTTGCACGCGCCTGACCTTGGTTTGATCCCAGGCATCCCATATGATCCCTGAGCACTACCAGAGTGACTCTGAATGAAGAAATGAGTAACACCCAAGCACCATTGGGTGTGACCTCTAAACAAAGGAACAAGTAACAACAACAAAAGACACTTAGATTTTGCTGATGACCTTATCTTTGCTATGCAAATTGGTTCCAGCATGCAGCTTGAAGTTGATTCAAGAAAGCATTGATCAACAAAGAACTCTGTGAATATGCAGCTTTTCCTGTGGATGTGGCTTTCATCAATAGTCATTTTAAACCATTTTTTTCCCCTTTTCTTTTTGAGTCACACCTGGCAATGCTCAGGGGCTTCTCCTGGCTCTGTACTCAGGAATTACTCCTGGCAGAGCTCGGGGGACCTTATGGGATGCCAGGGATTGAACCCAGGTCGGTAGAGTGCAAGGCAAACGCCCTCCCTGCTCTGGCCCTAAACCAGTTCTTTCAGAAGGACAACTTGACTCCATCCCTTATGGAGCACATGAGGAAATGACTGTGGGAAGCTATGTGAGCTGCCTATGTTTTTATAAGAGGCAGAATAGGCCTGGAGAGACAATAGAGGTTGAATAAGGCCCTTCTGTTGCATCAAGATCACTGCAGTTCAAATTCCCTTCACCACATAGGATCCCTGAGAACCGAAAGGAGTGATCTCTAAGCACAGAGCCTTAATACTGCTGGGTGTGACCCCTCACCCGGGCCAGATGATATAATGACACAGTTCCTTAGGGAAATGCATAGAACCCAATCAGATTAATAAATCACTGACATAGTCACTGTCCTCCCATTGTTCATCAATTTGCTTGAGCGTGCCTAGTACCTTCTACATTGTGAGACTTGTTGTTACTGTTTTTGGCATATTGAATATAACATGGGGAGCTTGTAGCTCCAGCCCTAATAAATCACAATGATTATTATTGATATACTTATTTCAGTGGCACTATAAAATTTAGCACCATCTGTCACCTCCAGAGCAGGAATTCTTTCTTTCTTTTTTTTGTCTTTTTTTAGGGGAGGGGTCACTCCCAGCGATGCTCAGGGGTTACTCCCGGCTCTGCACTCAGGAATTACTCCTGGCGGTGCTCGGGGGACCATAAGGGATTCTGGGAATCGAACTTGGGTCGGCCGCGTGCAAGGCAAACGCCCTACCCGCTGTGCTGTTGCTCAAGCCCCCAGAGCAGCAATTATTTCTTGACAAGCCTTTGTGATGAGACAGCTAACAATGGTTGGAAATCACGATGGATTGATCAATCCTCAGTAAATACAGCACCTTCCTTACCTTCTTTGCTTGCCACCTGATATTTCTGTCATGAACACAGTGGTGACACATGTCCAGCTCAGTTACACCTACTTGCTGTCATTGCTCACAATGGTCTGGAATCTCCATGACTATGTGCGGCATATCCACAGAGAAAATCAATCTGTGGCTGAAAAAAACCAACCCTGACTATTGAGAAAAAATAGTCCAGCGCATCATACGCCTGTCAAAGGTCTAATATCTACAGACTGTAAAGTGCTCACTGACCTCAGTACGGTAAGGAAACATTCCCATCCCCAAGGGGAAAGGAGTTGCAAAGACACTCCTCGAGGAAGACATTAGGATTGGTGTCAGGCATATGAGAGCATTCATCCTCACTGATTAGTAGGGAAATGCAAATAAAAATCACAATGAGCTGTTGCATCACATCAAGGAGAATGACTTATATAAACTTTCCTGTGTCGGAATGTGGTGAGAGAGTAATCCTCCCTCACTGCTGGTGAAAATGCCATGAGACCAAGCCTCGAGGGAAAGCATTAGGAAGATTCTTGGTTATAAACCATTTAAATCATTCTAAAACAGCTATTAAACCTTAAATTGTTCCATAATTATTGAAATCGTTGTTACGCTAAGACAGAGAAAAAGAGTTGATACATACCAATTAAATGGGCAAGTGAGAAACATCATTTATTTGGGTTGCATGACCTTTAAAACCACCTGATGTAATAAGCCTATATTTTGCATTAGTTTCATGATGATCTATGATAATAACTCCAAGAACTGACAGCAATAGAACAAAAAGACTGTAGCACTTTAG